ATTTTCTCAACAAAAGGAGSAAGAAAAAAAAGTGCAAGTGCTGTGTTTGCTAATAAGTAAACTATCATCTTTGCACCTTTTATTCTACAGTCAAATACATGCTGTTGTTTATCATAGCAAGCAAATATATCTAATTAATTTATACAATAATGGGTGAGCAAMTTCTTCTTCATGCTCGTGTTGTTCTTTATATATACTCTAGCATGTAAAATTGGTAGTTTTCCAGTTTAGGTTTAATTTTACTTCCTAGCACTTGATGTGTCTGAAGCATAAAATGTTTATCTCTTTCATCCATCTGGGTGAAGTATTGTACAATAGTTCAGACCAAAAATGGGTTCAGATTGCTTACATTATCATGTTTGATAGATTGACATATGTACTATTTCACACCATCTTACCACGCAGAGCTTTGCTGCCAGCTACCACCATCTTATTCATCAGCATTCAGTAATTCATTCTGCAGGCCAAATGGGACTGTTTGCCTGAATAAAAAAAAAAAAAAAGAAAGAAAAAAAAAAAAGTAGGCAGGAATTCACCTGTCAGTGCTTTCATGGAATTTGGGGGTGGGAAAAGTATATATGGAGCTCGGATGGCTCTTGGGGGATTTCACTGAGCAAACTGAGGGTTTTATGGATAATGCTAATTTTGTCCTTAGGARGGAGGGGTGGGCAGTCCTGGGACAGTTTATACCCAAAGGTTTGTTCATCAGAAATCAGGGAGTATGCAGACCTCAGCATGATGGTGGAATTCCTCCACACGGGGAAGTTTGGATGTTCCCATGTGGCAATAAACCCAACATTTCTCTTTTAAGCTTTGCAATATCCAGCTCTCAAATGTATGCACTGTTATGAATGCATCAAAATGAAAGTGTTTACAGTATTCTAGGTTTGAATCAAGTTAAACAGATAATGACTGCTTATAATTGGTTTATTCCAATGGAAATAGCTTAGCCTTAATTTGACAACAAGAGCTTTTACAGAGTCATTGTTTTATTATAAGTATGCCGTAAGCTATTAGCTACTACTTTGTGGTTCATCTTATTTGCCTGAGTCAGCTCTCTAACATGCTCAAAACATACAGATTCTAGCAGGAGCTATTTGTTACACAGTAATTAACTTGTTTATGATAAATGGATGGGAGAAATGTCAYGGCATTTTGTTTTATGTATAAATGAAAAGCATCTGCATTCCAAAAATTTCATGTTAATTAGRCTTAAAAATAGTTTTCCCCAGTAGTGCCACAAATACCACACAGTGCACATCCCTGCCAGCACTGTGGTCTGGTGATGGGGTACGAGCTGAGGTGATTTGTGGAGCCTTAGAAATGCCATCACTGCATCTCTTAATGAAAGTTACTGGGCTGTGATCTGTTATACTTCTTTGTCTTTGTTTTTGTTTGCGGGATAATAAACTTAGTCTTGATCGCTGATGCGTGATAATGTTTAAGATAGGTTCGTTAAGTGTTTTCTGCTTTAGCCTGAGGGGAAGATCTCCGTGTCTGCAGCRTGGCAGAGGACGATTGCGGCACGGGGATCTTCTCCTCTCTGTTAATTATTCATSTTAACTTAACATGGTGAAAACATTGGTCCTGAGGGCTGGGGAGCAGGGAGTGTGGGGCTGCACTGAAGGAGTTGAGCAGTGTCTCAGGGGAGCTGATTCCTGATGTGAACTCAGTGTTCGGGAGTGATGATCACCAGTGGCCTCTTGGGGAGCGAGGGAAAGAAGAAGTGGATTGCAGTATGATGCTCTTGATATTGGCTTTGTGCCCTTTTTTTATTTTTTATGGTGTATTATAAGATTATAATTAATAGAAAAATAGRTTTTTTTACAAGTCCAGGTTTAATTGGCATGCTGTGAGGCCGTGGCAGCTGGGAGTGGGTGGGATAGCATCAAGGTATGGAATGCATTAATTCTCCAGTGTTCACCACCACTGCACCAAACACACCTAAACAAAACCACTCACAGCAGACAACACAAGCAGATGAGAGGCACAGCCACTTTTTTGTTTTTCTGTGCATCTCTCCATCTGCAGTGATTCATGTTTCTGTTGCCCACCCCGAGCAGGGTGAATTCRCTCGTGTAGGCAGCCACGTTTGGGGAGAAGTGCGTGGCAGCACGGTTTATTTTCGTATGGAAAGATGAATAAACTCTGCCAGCATGTTCTGTCTAAGCAAGTGTATGAAACCAGAGGTAGCCAAGCTCATGCAAATGGATAAAAATGTAATTGATAYCATACTAGGATTCTTACTAGCATGATTTTTGTTTAAAAAGAAGCAAAAYACATAAAAGCTTTATTGAAATACCTTTTTTTTTTTTGCATGAGGGTTCACTATGGCGACCATCTCTTGTAAATTTTTTAGAGGTAGGATGTTCTTCATGGTCAAAAGCTTTTTWWTTYYCCCMWTWRAGKTTYMAAA